ATCAAATGTATCGCCGTTTTTTAACGCGGATATCAATCTTAAATTAAAGAGCACCAGGAGAGAGAGAGAGAGCGGTGCCACATTGCGAGAGAGCAATGACCATAACGACGACTTCCGGTCAGCAACTCGGCGCAATTAAAGCGACTTAAATGCAATTCCGTTAACGGTACCGCGCTGCGACTGTCGTGTACAACTTGACAGCACAATAGCTCCTCGTTCTCTTTCTCTCGGATTTCCTCTTTTGTTTCCTCGTCTCGGTAGTGTGGTCGGTGCGCAAGAAGTCTTCGCACGTTCACATCGTACGTCTATCTTTGAAATTAAGCGGATATCAGCCGACTGTCGTTCCGCTGACAGTCCGAAGCGGGGTGGGGGAGGAAAATGTGGGAAATATAAAAAGACATCGGTAATCTACGCAGTGACAACATTACGTATAAAATCCGAGGCCGTGACAACAGCGTTCGCGTTAACTCTCGCGAAACAATGTGTACTTACGTTATCTATAAGCGGGTATTACGGTAATTCCGCTACCTGATAATACAACCATCGCGCTTTTATCAGTATCTATAGGCACATAATGCATAATAATTCGCGCGTATCGTGGCAGTCTTTTGCCCGTCACACAAGCCGCTCCAAGCGAGCGCGCGCGTCGTAATTAGCGAAATACGTGACGCATAATCGTCGATGTTAATTAAGGTGAATCGCCGGAATTAACGAGATGCACAGGGAAGAGCGTTTGCGACGAGTGAACTCGTTAAGAAAGCTTTCTCTACGAAATAGGAACGTGGTTATATACCAGTGCGATTTACCGCGAGTTTACGCGCGATTTTTTGCGATAAATCAGTATGCACACTCGCATGCAGCTCTCTCTCGAACCGACAAATCTCGTTAGTCGACTCCGTGAAGTTCGAGACCCGAGAGATGAAAAGAGAGAGAGAGAGAGAGAGAGAGAGAGAGAGAGAGAGAAAAAGAAAAAAGAACAGAGATAGAAAACGAGAAAAGGCAGTAATAAAGAGAGAAAGAGAGGGACCAGGGGCCGGTTCACCTTGGATGCTGGTATCCCATCTGCATGCGAGGATCGCAGAAGAGACAGAGATAGGAAGATAGTGAGTGAGAAAAGGAGCGAGTGAGTGAGAGAGGCTGAGGGAGAAGAGAGCACGAAAGGCGCGGGAACAAGAAGAAAAGGAAAGCGAAGCTAGGGGAACGACATTCCAGCTGGAACGCGCGGCGTCAACTCCTCTCGAAAACCGAAGCCGCGTTTCGTGTGCAACAATAACAAGAACGCGGCCGCGCACGATTGACTCCGTTCGAGGGACAATTATTATCCGAACGTTACCATCGCGCGCGCGTACTTATTTCCGCGACGTTGAACTTTTTCTCCGTCCGACGCTCTGCGATTCCTCTTATTAAAAGCTCGTTCCATCCTCTAAATTTGTAATGATAATTACATCGCATATCCAACGAAGGAAATGTGCATTTTTAATCGAGCGGACGGACACGAAGGCGCTCTCGCGAGTATGTTCCATCCGGCGTGTTGAGGAAAGTTCGATGTCGTAGCCGCGTAATAAATGGAAGCAAACGGAACCATTAATTACGAGAGATAAGGGTGAGGGTGAATCCGGCGTGAAATGCGCTCCGTGAAATCAAGGTCGGCCGGTTGGGTTACAGCGAAATGTACGGAGAGTCGATGCACTCACGTGAGCTTCTTCGTTTCACCTTTCTTCGAATTAATACATAACGCGAGACGCAAAAGATCGCGTGTGATTTATATAAAATTATCATAAAATAGAATTTATCGTTCATGACCGAATGTCCTTTCGTTCGTTTCTTTTTTTCCTTTCGATCAACTTCTATCAAGATCGTTGAATTTCCTTAATCCGAACAGCGGTATTATATCGAAACTATGTGCTGTCGGTCGATGCCGACAACAAGAATTTTTCTGCGTGCAGGCACACATAAGCAAACGCGTATTGGACGCGGTGGTAGAAAGGAAATAGAATTACCGTTGGCTGGCGGCCAAATCGAGTATGGATTTTTAATTGTTGCGCGGATTGTTTCAAAACTGCGAGAGAGGAATCGAGACGCGGCGGTCAGTGTGCGATTAAATTAATCGCCGCTAAATCGACAGGTAGACAATCTCCACACGCGTAACGCGGCAAGAGACGCGCAGCGAGACACACGTGCGTCCCGACGCGTCGGGTGCGATGACGAGTAAAGTCAGCCAATCGGAGCGTTGTGTCCCGCGAAATCAATATTGGCCGATTCGTGATTAATGGCAACGACGCGGATGATTATTTATTCAAATAGATCCGAATTATCTGTTTGCTCGTAGATTAATTTTGTTTTCGATCGCTCGCGCGTCGAAAAGTCGTCCGGCAATTTTACGCACCCGACAATTACCGAAAATGACAGCCGGACCAGATTTTCATTCCCGCGAATCTACCTTGAGTAGGTTTCGGCGCGTTGTGGATTATTATGCAGCTGCTAACGCAACGAAGGAACGGAAAAAGAGATCGCACGCGCGGTTGAAGGGCGAGCCGAGAAATCCCGCGGATTTTGGCCGGCCTTTCTGTCTGTCTGCCTTTCGGGATCTCGCGTCGCACGTCCCACGGGAAATCGTCCTGAGCGATACCCCCTCTCGACCCGAACGAAACAGGTTTTCGAAGATCAGCGCGCCTTCGGGAAGCGCCTCTTCCAATTCGACCGTGACAAATCGTTGGTCGGAGGCTGTGACTGACTCGAGAGCTCGATCGATCAATGCACGCTGTTCGAGAAAGTGGAACATCCCATTAATGCGAATTAAACGATGAATCGCTTACTCGCGCAGCGTGTAACCGCGTGTATTTCATATATACCGGCATAATACACTAGAAGACCCATCGAAACAAAATAATAAAAAGTATCGAAATTACGATTTTATAAATAAAACCACTCGCGAGACCATCGTTTAAATTCAATGTTTTTTCCAGTAACTTGATTTTCTATGAATGCATGATCAAACATTGAAGTAGAAAAGTGACACTTTATTCTAAAATTTGGTCTTTCCTTTCACAATTTTTCAAATATAGAATTTAAAAAAACGCATATGATCATGCTTACCGAGCGACTTTTCAGAAGTGTGCGGTCAAAGGTATGAGGTAGCTTTCATTGCCGAATGTCGAGCGGTAGTCATCAGGCGGCGAACAAAGGGTGTTAAATAAGGCCCCGGAGCGGAGCAAAGCGGAAGGTCCCGTACGGCCCTGGTCCGAAGTTATCTGAGCGACGCGCTGCTCGCTCGCGAGAGCCGATTATATTAAATGGCTGGTAAAACGGTCTGCTTAACATAGCGTTTATCTGCTCCTCTCGGTTTAGTACTTTTTCACTGCCTCGTCAGCCATCGCCCATAAACTCGACTACGACTATCTCGCGTCTCTCTTTTTCCTCTCGTATGAGAGCGAGGAAACGCTCTCTCTCTCTCTCTCTCTCGAGGATGCAGTATTTTTCCGCGCGCGCGAGCGCACCACCATGCACACATTCAGCCTCGGAACTCGTAAAAGATACAGGGGACCGTTAAAACGATTCATCGTCTCGAGTGCTCATCATACTTTGACGCCCTTTTTGTTTACGATAGACTCGAATCGAGCTTCTACGCGAGCTCATTTCGTCGTTTAATTCGCTCCTCGAGATCGCGCGAGACTTCATGCTCGTTTTTTTTTATATAATACTTTTAATCGAACTCCAATAAAGGCACATTCGTTGCACGCGAGATACGAGGTCAACGACTTGAAGCTTTCGGGCAAAGCGCGCAGTTCAAAATCCCGATATAACTGGTAACGCAACGCGAGAGGGAGGGAGGTGAGCCGGAGAGAAACAATAAGAGCAATAAAATACGCGTTATAAAGATGCATAGCGCCGCCGACGCGTCCGCAAAAAGATGATTGCGTTGCTCCGAAAACGACCAATGGCGATCTCTTGGGCGGCGGTAGGAGAAAAGAACACATCGTTCCCTTTCGGTGCACAGACGATATTTTCAAAGTAGCATAACATCACCGCTTGCTTAGCGTAGGCGCACAAGTGTGTGCAAAGGAGTGATGTGATAAAGTTAGCTTATAACACGAGGTGCGGTCTTTTTACCCCCAAACGGAAATCCTCCCCCTTTTTCCTCTTCCTTCAGCTCCGAAAATAATTGCGCGGTCTCTTGATCCGCGTGTGAAAGTAATCCAAACATCGCATAAAAATTATGTTTACGAGTCTCGAATGTGAGAGGGTGGTCTTGCCGAAGGGTGCGTCGTATGCGAAATAGGGGTCCCTCTTTCGATTTCTCAGTATGCCGCGGCTTATGGGGCCGTAATAACATGACGGTGATATTTCCGCGCGCGTTTGAAGCGTTACCAAAGTACGCGAAAATACACCGTCTGTTGACAATATCTGTCTACTCCTCGCTGAATCTCTCGTCCTTAACATACAGTCTATCAAATATAACGACAGGTATCGTTACCTCTTCGTCAGTAAACGCGGGATTATCGAAAGGCAAACTCACCGTGAGATTATCTTTCGATTCCGCGTGTTAAAAATACATTTTAAAAATCAATCCCAAACAACCGACCGGTCGGAAGTCAGCGCTTTAAATAAGACCGATGATTTATGACGCACAATAACTCGCGGCGCCGTACGAATGAAACTCTACTCTCGCGCGCGGAGATACAATCAATGACGCTGCAGAAATAATAATACATCCCCGCAACATTCGATTTCCGCGTGTCGCGTCAAGTACGTACGTATAAATATCCCGACGTTGCCGGTACGATGCAAACGAAATTCGATGGAATCTCTCCGTCGCCGCCATAGGCACGTCGCGGGTTTATCGCGCTGAAATTGACTCATTTAAAAATTCCATTCATTTGTTAGCGCACTGCAAAATAAGCGGGTCGTTCGTGCGTAAAGTTTAATGATCCGAACTGGGCGTGATTCGAGCCTCGGCAAAAACGACGCGGAGTAAGCGGGAGACGTATAAAATTGCTCACCTGTCTTCTCTTTGATCTCGCAAAGAACCGAAAACAGAGCAGGCTTCATCCTGTGGCAGTTGAGAGTGTGTTTCCTGCACAAGCAAGAGAAATGTATGTGAGCGAATATTGATTCGGTGATAATTGAAATTGCGTCGCAAAATTAGCAAAAATTCGGAACAGATTTGAGAGAAAAGAAATTAGGAATATACCGTGAGATTCTCGAAATCATGGATCAGATCGATACAAAACAATGTTTACGAGGACAAAAGTAATAATTGTATTGAACGAAAAAAAAGGGATGTACAAAATAATTAATTGGAGAAAATATACTCAAAGGATGAGACATCGCGCTGTTACGAAGCTTAATCCGCGAATGTTATACAGCGTATGCAATGATAGCAGTCACAGATCTGTTCTTTACAGCTACGCCACTGTGTGCACCTAAAACGAAGTAGGTATTTATGTGCAACTTGGTGGAAGAGGAAAATAAAAAGATTACAAAGTAGCTCAGAAAGCACAGCAATAAAGAACAGACCTCGTGTGTAAAATATGAATGATCGGATCTTGAGAAAGAGACAGAGAGAGAGAGAGAGAGAGAGATATCTACTCGTTCCGAAATTGTCCTCAAACCCGATCGTTCACGGAACAAACATCGCGGAGAAAAAAGACGACGAATGTTTGAAGAAGCACCGCACGCACCGGAAATTAGCGGCTCGGTATTAATAAGAACGTTAACTTAATTCAGGGCCGTATTCAAATGGCCGGCGTTTAACGCCGGCCGTGAAATTACAAGAGCTCTCCCATTCCCCGTAAAATGCACGTATTCGTGGGAGACACATCTGGTGCCTCTTTGCAGGGGCATCAAACACGCGGACAGGTACTTAATATAACTTAACGCACACGCAACGCCGGGTCCGTGTTAAACGCGCGCACAAACGATACGCTACTCGAGTACAAGGGGCTCGAGTTGCGCGTGTCGGCCGAGCAGTATGTTCCCGTTACACACCAACGTCACTTTACGACGAAACATTTGTTTGTTTGTTTGCGGCATCTCGGATCGATTGTATCGTTGGTGGCCGACATTTTTTTGAAAACTGTTATCAATGCGAGTAATTCAGAGTTGAATTGTATTTAACTTCAAATAAAATTCACTTTACCTCAATGGCGTGTACGTTGATTTGGAATTTTACACGAGAGTGCGGTCTCGTTGACGAAATTATTATCGAGAAATCAAGAATGTTTGTCGAGATACGTTCCGTAATTCGATCGACGCGTCAATGAACAATGCATGTGCAAAATTCGTACGAACGATAATTATACTCGTGGTGCGTTTACCGTCATTAAGTTCCTCTCATTTGTCTCATTAACGTAAGTGTACAATTATAACAATCACAAAGAATCACGTAAAGCTTCGCATTTTCCTTTTCTCCCTTTTTTCTTTTTTCAATGTGGCTAGGTGAAATAGCAAGGAGAAAATACGGAAGGGTATTTCTTGCGTGACGTTGCAAGAAGCGATGCACGCCCGATAATAATCTACGCGGTCTTTAATGCAGTGTCCGTGAACCATCGTAACCTGAAACTTGAAAATAAAAGCACGCGCCGTGTTTTATACGCGAGCGTCGTCTTGGTTTTATGGGAATTTCGTTTACACGGCACTTCGACTGGTAACGAGTCGACCCCGTAAATCGAAAGTACCATTAAAACCTTTTAATCCGCCGATTAACGAGCCGTAAACATAATTTCCACTCCAACGTATCATTGACGGCCTCCGAACGTTTCACCGTCGAAACAACTATGCGCCAATCAAACGCTACGCCAGTCGCGTCGTGAATATCGAAACACCGGTCGGCGACTACTTACGGCGCGATGAAAGGTGCGAAGATGCGGTGGAAAACATTTTTTTTTTTTTTTTTTTTTTTTTCAAGCGATACGGAGGAAACGAGAGACGCGTTCCGCGCGCACACATATTAAAAAATGGCGGAACACATCCGAAAGAAGAAACTTACCTAGCTTGCGCCTCGTCCAGGCTCTGATCCGTGATGTTCATAATCTGCTGCAGGATCTCGCCGATGTCCTGTTTCCTGGCCTCGACCGCTTGGTCGGGGCCTTGAGCCGCGGTACCGTCCACCGGACCCATGCTGCCGTAACCGGCAGTGTTCTGGGTCGCCTGACCCTGGTTTCCACCCATCAGACCCACACCCGATCCTCCGTGTTGCAACATTCTGCCAGTTTCATCCATCAACCGGACTCAGTCCGCACAGTAATCAGCAACCGGCCAACGTGTTTGTCGTATGAGGAGTGTATGTGTGTGTGTGTGTACTATATATGTGTTTGCACACGTAATAACCGTTGCTGCGTGTTTACCTATGCGTTTGTGGCGACGAAAAGCGATGGCCCGATGTAACGGCACGGTCGTTCTCGCGTACCTAGGCGTACTCGTATACCAGTGTGTCGTCGCTTGAGAAACTTGTCGGGAAGCTCGATCAAACAACTATACGTTCCTTCTCCGGCCTGCTGCACCGTCCGATAAATGTCGATGGTGCCACACGGGACGAGACGATGACGGTGCACGTGTACGACTCGCGAACACGTTCGCCGACCACGTATGGAGACTCACGCGTTGCACACTTGCAAAAATATACTCTCTTCCTCTCTCTTTCTCTCTGCCGTTTCGAATACCTCGTGACTTCACGCACCGCTGCCTCGCGCGGCGCGAACGTCTTTTGGAGGTTATGCCGTTACCACCGCCGTCGTCGTTGTCGCTGCTATGGCCTTTGTGCCTTTTGCGTACCGTTCGGCGTTTTAACTCGCTCCGTTTCGTTCCTTTCTTCCCCTCTCCGTCTTTCTCCCCCTCTTTGTCGATCTTGCTCTCGCGCTCACCGTCTGTGCCACGATTTTCTGCTTCGTGCGTGTCGCACCGATTTTTTCTATCTTCTCCTTCTGACGCACCGTGACGCACTCGCGCACGCTTCTAAATTATCGGTCTAAAGTCTGGTATACACAATATAGATCGTTGAAAATGCCACCTACGGCGGCTTTAAACTTTGACGGATTGTCGGGTTTACGTATACGCGGTTGTGTATCGAGACGGTCGGCGTCGCGCCCGGCCCGCACTGCTCCCCTCGTCGCGATGCTTCACTATGTGTGTGTGTGTGTGTGTATATATATATTTATATGTATATATATATATGAGTATATACACTCTCGTCGCGTATGTTTTATTTGCTACGGCTAAGGAAGATCGGCGTTGTTATCCGAGCTATTCGCGCCACACGAACGTTGCACACAAAGCTTTTTTCTCCGCCTTACAAGGCAGCAACAACGACGACGACGAGCACGCGCGCGGACCGACCGTTTCCGTCCCTCTTCTCACTGTTCTCGGTCGCTCGAGCGACTGCAACGCTGCTGCGGCTTGCGGGTGTACGATCGCCGCGTCCGTAGTATACCTGCCAGTACTGTGACGTACGCGTGCGCCAATCGGCGGCCATAGCAGCCGCCGTGGCCAATCAGGAGGTCACCATGCATCTGCCTCTCGCTTCACCGGCCGGTGGTGCGTCCTACCTTTTCCGATCCTCTCGCTGTTGCACGCATGCGCATTCACCTTATTTACGATGGCATGATCTATGTATTCGTTCCTGCGATCTCATAACCTCCTCCACATTCGAACGTTCTACCAAATATAACGCCCAGTGATTGCTTGAAAGGAACGCCGCTTTGCGAGTGCGTTGTATTCCCGGCGTTCGGCCTTGCGGTGTGTAGCGTTGCCTCTGTTACGAACTTAGCGCACGCTCCGCTCATTCTCCTCTCACTCCCTCTCTTCCGACTTTTTTTTTTCTTTCTACTATGCAGCGTCTCACTTCGTAGATACTGTCATTGAATAAAAGTGGATCAGGACGAAGATGCAAAAGAGATTGCAGATCGCGATGCATTGCACGAAAACGTATCGATAAAGCGAGAAGAACTTATACATGCGGTTATAAATTACGGAAACTCTTGTGCGCAAGCTTCGCTCGTGCAAGATGGCCGCCAATAGCGAGAACGGCCATGGACAGCGTGAAGCGGGAAACGTTCATCAAAGGTTGCGGCATACGTCAGCTGTAGATACTAATTCACAATGGGATCATAATCATTTTAATAATGATTTCAGAGCCACTTTCATATTACTTTCCAGATATTCAGTTTGCTTGTTTTTCACACTTAAGCTACATGAGTAAAAATTGAGTAAAAATTGACATCTAATGCAATTCTGGAATTGTTAAAATGTACCGAACTGCTTTATGTAGATAAGAAAATCATAAAGGAGATTCATATCCCTTGAAAAATACAAATCTTTCCCTTCAGTTTGCAACATCATACGCGAAAGTAGCGAATCTGCTAATTTCTTAGACCCATTATTTGTACTAAAAATAAAGGGTGTTATTAGACCTCTTATTTTGCAGCTAAATAAGGGGTCTAAAGCGGCACTTGGAGTGCAGAACGAATCCGCATTTCCATTTATTATAAATTTTGGAAGACTTAATTGCTAAATCCAGCGATTTGGATAACATGTAATGTTTGAAAAGATTATTCCAAGACAAATTTAATTGAAAGATATAATTTGTACGAAAAGAAGAACGTGCACGTAACATGGAAAGTGTAGCCTAGCCGCGGCAACAGATCGAACGTTATATTTTTTATTTATCCTGAAATAACGATTAAACTTATTATCCCATCGTTAATTAGTATCTATCGCAATAGAGATGAATAAGAAATAAACGAAATAAAACACATTAATCTGTATTTGAATAATAAAGTGTTTACCAAATATAAAGTTACATGTAACAGCAGTATGTGTAACAATATATGTGTATTATATCTTATAAAGAATTAAAACTTGAATGTTTTATACAATTACAATGAAGATTAACAATAAAGAAACTCAACTGTAAAGGAGAGAGAGACATCTAGAGAATAGTACGCTATTTATAAAGCATGGCGTCGGCATTACATGGTCGATACAGTTGAAATATCGGGAACGTATTGGTTAGAAGTGAATATATTTCGATGATATTTGTTAGAAAATTGTCTATCTAACCAACACACACAGTTTACAAGAATATAAAATAATCGTAATAGTTCGTATATTATTTATATTTGGCAGCATCTAAGACACAATGCCACCCAAATGTAAATTTCAAGAAGGTATGTGTCAACTTTACAGAAAGCCTTCTTATGTTATAAGAATTATAAGGATAAATTTTTAACGAAATTAAATCTTAATCTCACTTCCTCTTATCTTATTTTAAATATTATTAATTGCACAGATATATGTTTGAATTGCAAATATAATTTGCATATTTCCTAGGTGAGAAGGTATTGTGCTTTCATGGACCATTAATCTATGAAGCAAAGTGTTTGAAGTCCTCTATTACTAAGGAGAAACAAATCAAATATTTTATCCACTATGCTGGCTGGAATAAAAAGTAAGTACCCATATACTGCTTGCAGCTACGATATCGAATATTTATTTCCTCCATGATCTTATTATTTAAGACTGGACTATATTTTTGTTAGATTAATAAAACTAAAGTTTGTGTTTCAATATTTACTGTCAGCATCGAGAAAATTTACAATTCATATATCGTTACCTATACTATACTATCTTAAACAACAGTATATTCTCGTCAAAATAGTTGGGACGAATGGGTTCCGGAGAGTCGAGTTCTCAAATATAATGAGGCAAATGTACAGAGGCAACGGGAAGTTCAGAGAGCTCACTCAAATCAGCAATCTACGCAGAAAAATAAGAAGGGAAGCACAACAACCAAGACACAGGGAAGAAGGAGTGAAGGGGTTAGAGAGAAAGACACAGATAGTAGGGCAAGTACACCTGTAGCAACACCTGACAAAAGTATAAATCGCTTTAGCAAAGGCTCAAGCAGCATGGCGACACCTTCATCCTCTCATGATTCTACGTCTGAACCTACACGTAAAAAGCGAAGGTTTGTTACATAATATATATTGTGATATATTTTTGGTTGATTGTATATCATCGACACACTTTATAAAACGCTTTAGTCGACTAGAACCATCCGGTGAAACTGAAGAATATCTTACTAAAGTGGAAGTTAAGATCAAATTACCCGAAGAATTGAAGTTTGTCCTAATTGATGAATCTGAAGTGATATTGAAGCATCACAAATTGCCGGCGTTACCTGTGAAGAATACAGTCGACAAAATATTAGATGATTATGTGGAGATGAAATCATTGGGAAAGACAAATGATATCAAGTATAAATCTGTAGTCTCATTGTGCTATTCTAATATACACTGCATATGAGGATACGCTCAAATTTTCTATATCCATATTTTAGAGAGAGTACATTGGAAATAACGAAGGGCATTCGTGAATATTTCAACATTACACTGGGCCTTCAACTCTTGTACAAGTGGGAACGACCGCAATTTATACAGATAATGAACGACAATCCGGAAACACTGCCAAGTCAACTGTACGGTGCATTTCACTTACTCAGACTATTTGGTAAATCAAATACCCACTTTTCCACAATTGTCCTTTATTATTATTTATCAGTAGTTTTCACTTAGATGGTAATTTTCTAGTTTCTTGAAATATCTTATAATTTTACAGTGAGACTTGGTGGTATGCTGTCGTACACACCTTTAGATGAAAGGAGCATTCAATTGTTGCTAACACATTTTCATGAATTCTTGCAATATCTGCAGAAGAATAACTCTGAACTCTTCAATCTTCAGCAGGATTACACGGACCCACCACCAGATTATCATCGGAAATATGGTTAAATCGGCTGAAAGAAACAGATTTGTCCACACACAATTAACAAACATTTCCCGAACTTCTCTTTATAATATTTTATATATGGTAATTATATCAGAAAATAATACATATAAGCGCGAGAATGCTAATACTCTTTAAGCTTTATTGTTTTAAATAAACTAGCGAGTAGTAACTTTAGCTATATGAACAAATTGCGTCTTCGGTAATTAAAGAAAAAGATACACATAGCGATTGCATTTAATATTTGTTGAAAATAAAATCTCAGGAACAAATGCACTAAAGTATGCGACTCAAGATATCCTGCGAAAGCACTTATCCAGAAAGAATTTTTCACGATATAGAAATCAAGCATGATATCCCTTTACCTCTAGAGTAAGCGGCAGTCGATAAAATCAACAGAGGATACTCGGGCGCGCTGGTGTAAGCCCGTGTCGCATCGCGGCAGTAGTGCAAATGCGCGCGTTACGAGCCAGTCTGCGAACATCGGGCCAGTCAGTCAGTGGCAGGAAAAAATGGCGGATGTCGACTTGAATATCGACAACTTGATACAGAGATTACTAGAAGGTACGTGATTATAAAGGGGTGGCCGGCGCGAAAAACACGCACATTACGCGTTTCCCGTCGGAGATTTCGCGGAGCGTGCGTCCCATGAGAACGAGCTGCATCGTAAACCGACTGTCGTGAACGCGTCGTACCCGTCGTGTGTACATACTCGTGTGGGTACGTTTATTTGCGCGCTCCTTCACCACCATGGCTCTTCCGATCATCTGAAGAGGAACAAACCGCAACGCGGCTTCGATAGTTCCGTGCCTACATGGTGTTTGGAACGCTTGTCGTTCCTCCGTACTGCGCGATTTCCCCGACGATCGGCTTAAAAAACGTAGGAAAGATATCGATCTTACCTGTGCGTCATACCAATGCGTCGCCGTCGTCACTATGATACACGAATTGTGTGAAAAGTCGGAGAGACGTCTCTTTCGCTCAGAGTTCCGCTACGTCTAATTGTCTGTCTCTCTCAATCTCGCTATTTCTCTCGTTCTATTTCGCTCGTTCTCCCTCTCTCTCTCTCTCACACACACACACACACACACACACATACACATTCTCTCAGTATACCTGTCAGCGTATCTCTGTCACGACTAAAGAACCCCTCCACTTCTCTCTCTCTCTCTCTCTCTCCTCAATCACCATCTTCCCTGCCACTGACCACCACAATCGCAATCTTTCATCCTCGTTCTCTTGAGGCGCACAGAAGGAAAAAAACAAATTTCTCTCTTTTTGTTTGTTCTCTCTCTCATGCTACGCGAATGCGGAACTCCCTTGTGCGGTAAAGTATACCACACGCAGAAAGACCAGGTTCAGAAGAAAGCCAAGCTAAAAGATATTTTCTCGTCGGACTTCGTCGGTACGCAACAACAGTAACAACAACAACAACGTCACAACATAACAATAATTACCATCACCACAACCATGTCGTCACAGCAACAACAGAAAACTTTCTCTTCCCACGTAGAGCTATCTTTTTATTTAGCTGCGCCTACTTTTATATTTCGTTATCGTCCCGTGGACTGCATTCACGCGCTCGTGTAGCAGTGCGTTTAGCTCTAAACGTAACCATGCAAATATAAAGATCGAGTTTGGTACGTTCGTAGCGAGCTGCGAGACAAGTGTCACGTAATCGCGCTCGAGATCGTTATCGCTGTCTTGTGTGTCTTTTGCAATTAGCGTCGCGTTTCAAGTTGGACGCATCATTCAAAGTGACTCAGAGCAGTCACATGTAGCTCCAATGGTTCTCACTATTCTCTTTACACGAACGTCTGTCCTTTTTCAGACATAATATCGCCTTCTTTTTGATCTCTTCAATTTCAAAAATTATCAACGAATTATCTCATGTACTGTTCGGTTTAAATCGTCACAATTGAAATCTCAATCTCAAAGCTTCATTCTTTTTGACGCGTGCCACATATAAATCTGTGGACCAACGAACAGTCGCATTTAAATACGCATTAAATACGCATTAAATACGCGCTGCGAATATAGGATATTGCTTCTCGGCGTGTCGCGCTCACTCGCGTCCAACTCTTTCTTTTTGTCTTTTTCTTTTCACTTCTTTCCGCTTCCCACAAGTAGACCCAAATCCTGCACGCAAGTGTGATGCTCCCCCCTTTCCCCTCTCTCTCTATACATACATACATACATATATATGCTCGCTCGCTCACTCGCTCAATCGTTGATCCTGTCGAGTTTTTCATAGTGTAGATTTAAAGGCACGACGATGACCACACATACGCATACAGCTCGCGTGTTTATTATTTGGGATACGGGTATATTAACGCAGATGCTTTCAACCCCTTAAGTTACTCCGAATTTGTCGATNGGTTTTTTTTTTTTTTTTTTTTTTTACCTCTTCCTGTATTCGGCCCTACCAATTAAAACGTTTCCTAAAAACGTTACGTAAAAATTGTAGAATTTGTCGAACAACGTTAGCTGAAGATGTAGCGTAGATATTAGTTTAGCGCACGCTTATTAGATATATTAGTATATTGATAGATGTTTTTACGCAGTTGATCGGTGATGTGCGTATGCTTTAACTCCTCTCGATACATCCTCTTTATGCTGTTCTTCGGACATGTACAATTCTCTCTCTAGCTCCTCTTCCCCCCCCCCTTTTTCCTTCTTTTTTATTTCGGAAAAATTATATTTTCCGACGTAAAAAAATTTTGTATCGGATTCAACGTTTCGGACCGTTATTACATACGCAAACTTTATCATTCATCATTTTGATGTATTTAAAGCGAGAATTTAACAAGGGCACAATGCGAACGTGGAAGATTTTTTACTTTCGTTTCGAATCTAGCGGGATTACTATTCGTTCGACATTTCTCGCAAAACGCGAGTAACGTACCGAAAGATCACGTCATTGAGCATTGATTGATCATCACTAACGCGTAATAAAACTTAAGTTCAGCTGCTAGAACGAATTATTTTTAACTTCTTCAGGGTCGATTTATTTTAAATTCCTAGTCTTCCATCTAGAGATTGATCTTAGGCGCATGCGTGTGTATAAAAGTGAAACATTGCGTGAATATCGTCGGTTTGCTGACTTTTAGATACATTATTATTAGGGCGCCGAAATTGCGAAATCGTCACGTGCGGCTGAAGACGCGTTCACAAGGCTGAAAATTTACGGTAACGAGCACGTTCGTCGCATGTCCCTGAAACGAACGTTACTCCAGAATCATCGCTAACAAGACCTTGCTAATTATTTTTAACTTCTTCAGGGACAAGTTATTTTAGATTTATCATTTTCTCCCCATCACACATCTTGTAAGAGCGTGGCGATTTATACGACGAGCAGTTTTAATTATCGGACATCTTGCACGCGTCGGTTTTCTTCTTGAAGTCTTGGATCGAATTTAAGCGAACTTAATTTCAATCACAGAGAAAAGATACGGCCGTCAAAAGATAGAAATACTTGCGCTGAATATTTTAACAGCTCATTCGCGAGAGACATTAATATCTCCATCGAGTCCGAATATCGAGCTTCTTTCATTGAATTGATCAACTTACGTAATCAAAATTAGGTTATGCGTAAATTGAACAATGTATACACATGTGGTTTGATTAATTGCAGAGCATACTTTTGCATATAAATAAATTTGCGAATGATATCGGTACGATGCGACGATGTAACAAACTGCCATCGAGTGGAATTTTGTGCCTCCAAAGTTTGTTTTTACTCTCCGGTGAGCCTATTTTGAACTCGATGACATTTCCAGCGTTTCGCCTGGAATACTTCTCGCCAAGGTGACAATAGCTCTCCTACCGGAGTCGCTCTGCATCTCTGCTCTATGGTCGCCGTGACCTTGCTAATATGCAGTTTTCCAATAACCAGTATCGGCCTAGTTCAGCCGCACCGTGAATATTCCCTTTATATGCCTATAAATAACAGTCCGACGACACATCCGTGGCGTCATAAAGAGAGACGATCTACACTGGATGTCGTTGAATTGCTTATTCCCTCTACCTCCGTGCGCCGTTTATTAACGCTTTGGATGTCGCGTGACGTCTGCTTTGGAAAATATCCTTCCGAAGGAAAAAAGAACAGGAGGGACAAAATGAGAATCGGCGATAAAAACGGGATAAAATTAGAGTTTGAATCGCACACTTTTCGCTAAATTTGTAATCATGTGGTTGCTTCTTTTTCATTTTCATAGTAACTCGCGTTATTCTGTGTGTTCGAGACTGAAAAATCGAGCCGAGAAAAGTCGAATTATCCAGAGTGTTATATTATCACGATTCATAGTAGCTAAGTAATACTCTAGGATGTGTGTCGAACGTAGCTCTTCTCTATTTCCTTTTCTCCCCTCTATCTTTCTCTTTCCCTCAAGGAGAAATTCGTACTTCCTGAACAACTTTTCCAACGAGCTTGTCAATAATTTCACGCCTTTGACGCTATTCTAGTCGATGCGATATCACCGTAGAAAGTACCGCCGGAAGTACCGTACCCAAGTGCTCGAGAATAGGCAAAGATGATGGCTCACCGTAATCTGTAATAATCGTAATCGTATCCACCCCTGTTTATTGAGACAGCTAATACCGGCCGACTTAATCATCTCTCTTCCACGCCCCAAAGTAGAGTTATGCTCGATGTACCTACGACGAGAAGATCGCGACAAAAGGCCCCTCGTTAGCGCGGTGGACATAAGGGAACACGTTCTGTTAACGATGTCGTTCATTGCACCGGCCGGTCACGCCGACTTTGCCAAAGATTGCGTAATCACACGTAACGCGATATTATTGGAGTAATTTCGCGCACAAGTAATGCGGCGCAAGTTACACTAATTATACGTGACAATGGCATTATCGATTTCTTTCCGGAGATAGAGAGACCGTTCTCGCGTTACAAAGATAGATAGAAAATACATTTCAACGTAAAATGGCTATAAATATATAGCCGGGAGTTTCTCGAATAGAGAGATTCCACCGCACTGACGAAGGGCCGGCCCGGTGTTGTTGCAACTTGACGCGATTAACCGTGGATGTTTCTGTGGCGCAGTCAGAGGATGTCGACCGGGCAAGACCGTAACCATGACGGAGGCCGAGGTGCGTGGCCTCTGCCTCAAGTCTCGGGAAATTTTCCTGCAGCAGCCGATCCTGCTGGAACTTGAGGCGCCGCTTAAGATCTGCGGCGACATACACGGTCAGTACACCGATCTGCTGCGGCTCTTCGAGTACGGCGGCTTCCCGCCCGAGGCCAACTACTTGTTCCTGGGCGACTATGTCGACCGAGGCAAGCAATCCTTGGAAACGATATGTCTGCTGTTGGCGTACAAGATCAAATATCCGGAGAACTTCTTCCTGCTGCGCGGCAATCACGAGTGCGCCAGCATAAACAGGATATACGGCTTTTACGACGAGTGCAAGCGGAGATACAACATCAAGCTCTGGAAGACCTTCACGGATTGCTTCAACTGCTTGCCGATCGCCGCGATCATCGACGAGAAGATTTTTTGCTGCCACGGCGGGCTCAGTCCTGACTTGCAGGTAATCGGCACGACATTCGTGCGGTATGTGAGCCCGGCTCTCACATTTCTCGTTTGTTTCAGGGAATGGAACAGATACGAAGAATTATGCGTCCAACTGATGTACCTGATACCGGTCTTCTCTGTGATCTTTTGTGGTCCGATCCCGACAAGGATGTTCAGGTGAGACTCTCTCTCTCTCTCTCTCTCTCTCTCTCTCTCTCTCTCTCTCTCTCTATCTCTCTCTCTCTCTCGCCCAGCCTTTGATTAGTACGGCTCAACTGTGACGACATTGTTTCAGGGTTGGGGCGAAAATGACAGAGGAGTCTCGTTCACGTTTGGTCCGGACGTCGTGTCAAAATTCCTGAATCGTCACGATATGGACCTGATATGCAGAGCACACCAGGTGGTCGAGGATGGCTACGAGTTTTTCGCCAAGCGTCAACTCGTCACATTGTTTTCCGCGCCCAATTATTGCGGAGAATTCGACAACGCCGGCGGCATGATGAGCGTCGACGAGACGCTGATGTGCAGTTTTCAGGTGAGAGAGGCGACTCTTATTCATTGTTAACATTTCACTCACGTCGTGTTTTCGCGCAGATCTTGAAACCGTCGGAAAAGAAAGCCAAGTATCAATACGGAGGAATGAATACGGGCCAAGCCGGTAGACCATCCACACCACAGAGGAATCCAGCGAAAAAGAAATGACAGCCTTCTACCGATCCTGCACAGCAACAAACGCGGTTATCCTTAATGGAGGCTATCATGCTAGGTAAATCTGCTTTATGCTTGTCGAAGCTTACTTAATCTACACTAGCGATACCATTTACGTGCATAGTTACGAATCTATTTCCCACAATCATCAGTTGAACGAAAGAGGAAGAAAAAAGAATAGCAAAAAAGAACAAAAAAAGAAAGAGCGGTATGAAATGTAAGACGTTACTCAATGTATTTAGGTTCATGCAATGATTCGCCGATGATTTAGACATTTATATATAGCACGCGGTGTTTCCAACGCGCACACGTGTTACGACGACGGACGATTCGATTTACGGGGCAAAGATACGCTAATGGATTCACACATACTGACACGTGGCTTGCGAAAGATCTTCTCCGTAGTCTCTTGTAGCGGAAGCGCTTCGATGACACCTCGCCGGATGCCATGATCTGATCTCGTCTTTGGTTTTCATGTGTTTCAGCACGAAGACGTCGAGATACAGAACTAACCTAATCTGATAAACGTAAAGCTAAAGTGTGTAAGATTCACCTCCTTCCTCACAATTACATCTTAACGAAATGAGAGTCATTTGATTTCCATCGGACTTAGCAAGGGCTCGCGGCAAATTTATTCTCAAGTGGCACTCACCACTTGAGTGACTCTTTGTGAAAGTTGACGCCCTTTAAAAAGCATTTCGTCATTCTCATTTGTATTTATTGCTTCCATTGTTGATGTTGAGTGTAATTATGAGACTCGCTGTTATTTTATTATTATTAATATGTATATATGAATATTATTATACTTGTAATATTAATTCATATACATATATTAATAATATAAATATTTTTTTTTTATTTTTAATATTACTTTTAGCACTGCTTTAGCAGTTAATTTTAAGTCATTCATCATTTTGTGAGAGATGCTGCACACATCCATATATATTTTTGTTCATTTATCCTTTCTCTCAGAGCGCATTACTCATACCGAGTTTAATTCTATTATCATCGTGTTCCGACTGCACGATATATCGTAGGCGAATTAGGTTGTTTATTCTCGCGCGATGAATCCGGAGAGAAATCAGTATTTTTAAGATAACGCTTCCACGCGTATGATTGTACGACTTTGTTCGAAGGATAGAAGGGGGATTAAAGGAGGGAATGTGTAAACACAGAGAGGAAAGAAATGCGTTTAGAGGAAGAATCTCAGTCGCGAACTTTTCACGCTTGCGATGAAAATGAACGTCAGATATGCCATCACCCGACTCATACAAGGGTTGATCTCATTGCGATCGCGTGAACATCGCAGTGAATGCTTCTCACGGTGCTTTCGATTTTAGTGACTTCAAATTTCTTACGATATATATATATATATATATATATATATATATATATATATATATATAT